TAGTAGTGTTTCCCACAGAATGGAGGCAGCGACCCACCTCTGCTAAGTGGCTGCAGAGGTAGCGTCATTCCTCCAGGTCATTAGAGACTGCAGCCCAAATCCTCAGAAGTCCTGCTCAAGGAAAGTCGCCTGGCTGGCTCTTCTCTGGAGGTCAAAGCTACACCCCACATGCCACCTGCCAGGACAGAGCTGCGGCCCGAGTGCTTCTCCGGCTTCGGATCTGCTCTCTCCTGAGGAGACTCCGTCAGTATTCTGACCACAGCACAGCTTTGCTTCCCTTGTCCACACTGACGATGTGGGAGCCGGAGGGGGACCATGCCACCGCATTGATGGACGAGCTTCAAAGGGAGAGGTCAGAACATCTGTGAGGCCTTAGTGAGCTCGGCACCAGGCTCCCTCGCTCCTGGGGGTTGTGCTTTCTCCACAGCTGTTTTACTCATCCGGCTGCTCCCGCTCACAGGCAGATACTTAGTAAAGAGCAGAAGAATGCAGGAGGAACCCTGCACTGTGTTTTAGGAAGCAGTTTGGGAATGAAAGGAGCAGGCCCGATCAAGTCTACCCTAAGCGAACAGCTCTGGGTGAATGAAGCAGAGAGGGACAGGACGACTGACTGAGGAGTAGAAATTGTCACTGCTTTTGAGGCACAGAGAGAGGTGGTTATGGAGGAACCCTGGGACTGTGTTCTAATTAGCAGTTGGGCCTGGGTGGATGGAGCAAAGCTAAGAAAAAAAGGAGCCTAGGGGAAGACAAGAGAATGTTTCTCTACTCTTTTCTCCAACAGCCACTATTCTGATTGCTCAAACCGGAAGATTCTGTATAAACATACCAGCAGAGCACTGCAGCAGGCTGCACTGGGGGGACTGGCTGCTTCTCTCCACTAACCTAGCTCACAGCAGAGCACATGAGTGCACACTGCCCTCGTGGGGCAGACTCAGGTCCATGCCTGAAGAGAGCATGACTCCTGGGATGAAGTCACAGGACCCGCTCACAACCTCAGAGGGGCTCCAGGGGTCATCTTACCCATGATGCTTTGAAAGGACCTTCTCCACTTTCCCAGAGAGCACACTCCAGACGTAGAGAGAGCCCTCCGCGGAGCCTGCTGCCACATAACTGCCGTCAGGGCTGGAGAACACAGAAGACAGGAAATGGTGTCAACCCCCCCGCTCCCCAGCATCCTCATGGACCTTCTGGCAAGAAGCAATGTTTAGTCTTCATTTATGAGACAAACACAGGACTGGTCCTGTATACCCAAAAAATCAGAACTTGACACTCACGACTGTTACACCAAAGCTATTTCACCCTGTTATCTTGGCCTCACCCACCCAATGAAGAATAGTGCCACTATGTTACTTCTTGAGGCCACAAGTCCCTCACTATCTCAGACTCCAACTCAGCACACACAGGGAGATCAAGTCAACCCCTGAATGGCGACGGGTTTCTTTTGTCTGGCAGACTGCCTGGTCGCATGGCTCAGTGAAAGTAGGAAAGAGAGAAGCATTAACTGTGGAGAAGTTTCTCTG